GGGGGCCCAGTGGCTGGCCCAGATTGGGGTTGGCCAGTAGCCGTGGGTCCAGAAATGACTTCCTCTGCTCCAGTAAAATCCAGGGGGCTGGACTAGAGTGGTCCAACCCGTATTCCACTTGTGCCCAGAGGCTCCAGTCAGGATCAGGACCTCGTTACAGAAGCATCCTCTGCATGAATCAATGGCTGCCTCTTAGGTCCGTTTACAGGCGAAATGGGGCCTTGGCACGAGGGGTTGCCGCACACAGCCGAGGGGGAGCCACGGGGGCAATGCTCTGCTAGCTTCCCTTCTGAGGTGTAGCTCTTTGTAGTCACCCCCCATCTCCCATCCCATCCTGCCTGCCACCCCTTGGCCGCACGGGCCTCTGACTCATTGTATCCTTGGTTCCTCCTTTGGACTGGATCTGTTGTGCTGGGCTCAGCGACTGTGGCCTTGGTGGAGGAATACAGCCACAAAGACCCCGTCTCTGGCTCCCTTTCTCACTGACGCATGACCCCGTCCTCTCTCCAAACGACACCACCTCTCACAAAGATCGTTTTCCAAACAGCTCCCGTCTGCTCACCGGCCGGCACATCGAGTGGCGCAACGTCCCGGCCTGCGGGATTGTTTGGTGGAGACAGTTGTGCCCGTACCGCAAGTGGCGGGTGCAGGTGTCTCTGCAGAGCGGTGCCTTACACCAGAAGAGGGACGTCCCTTCCTGTGAGGCCCATAAGAGGCAGCTGCATCCCTTGTGGAGAGGGGCTGAGGGAACAGGAAGGGAGGAGGCACTGAGATAACCATTCCAGCGTGCAGGGCTGTCTTTGGAACACCCTACGCAACACACACACACCACACACACACCCACACGTGCCCTGCCACGAGACTTGTTCTCACTCCCAGTGTGTGCCCCACGTGCTCTCCCCGTCCTGTCCACACGGCATGTTAAAAGGTTGTCCAGCAGGAAGGGGTTAAATGCCTGGCTGCTGCCGGGGCTGCCCCTCAGCTCTGTGGAGGAGTCAGAGTCTCGCCAGCCTCCAGTGAGCCAGGACCTGCAGCCAGGAGGGACCGGAGTCGAGGTCGTCACCCCACCCTTTCCAGACTCACGTTGCCGGAACTGTGGTGCCACCCAGGACAGTGAACACGAGCAAGGAAACTCCTGTAACATGTAGGAGCCAACCCGCTCTCACCTGCTGCTCATGAGGTGCCCCAGATCTGCTGTGGCATATTCAGCCTGTGCCTCAGGACGGCCCTGAGGCTACAGTGAAAGCAGCATGAGGGACGATTGCAATTGCAGACGCAGGAAGTAGCACCTGTCTCTCGCGTGGCAACCGTTCAGAGCGCTGTACTGTCGCCCCGGGCGAGTCGTGCTCCCATGAATTCTTGCAGCTAAACGTCTTTGCACCATTTCTTGTCCCTGTAGTTGGGCGTCGTATCCCCATGGCAGTGCCTGGGCGTTATCTCAAGTTTCATGGCTGGCATGGTATTTGCTCTGGGCTGCTGATTAGCTTGTGGGGGCATCCGGACAAAGAACGTAGACAGACGGACGGACCGTTGTTGCAAAATTCGGGCTGCAGGTAAAAGGGGTGAAAGAGAATCTAGGAGGCCTCCTGCTCCAATAACTTCAGCTGAGATAAAGAACGAACTGGAGTTCCTCTGCTCCGAGGGCCCAGGAACACTGAAGCCACGAATTTCTGAACATAAGCGATAGACCCGAGAAACAGCGGCTTTTAATTGTCCGTACCAGGGACTCAACCCCCTGATGGCTTTGGTGCAGCAAACAGGTACAAAATGTGCATATTTTGTGGATTTGGTACACCCTGTGCCTCTAGCTGGACATACGTCATCTCTCGGGCTATGACTTTTTCCATGCTTTGTGGATGTAGGCTGAATGTGTCAGTGCCAGGGTTTTAATCTGTTAACTCAGTAACTAGCCTGTCTGGTATTTTCATGTTTTGCATTCCAATAATCAGTTTTCAGCCATCGCATGCAGAATTCTGAGGAAACAAACATTCAGACATTTTCCCCGGCTCTTGAATTCTCCAGTGGACCTAAACCACAAGTTTCTGATGTATAAAGAACGCATCAAACATACCCTTTTGCCTGTCTTCAGTGCAAATTAAAGGATTTAGGGTGTGTCTAGTCTATAGGTTTTTGTCGACAAAAATGGACTATATCTGTGCCTACACTACCGCCGAGTTCTGTCGACATAATGTCGACAGGACACGGCAGTTTTGTCGATGACAGTAAACTTCATTCTACGAGGAATAGCGCCTTTTGTCGACAGAGTTCTGTCGACAGAAGGTGTTATTGAATCTACACTGTCCGTTGCCTCTACACTCTCATGTCGACAAAGCAGCTTGGAACTGGATGTAGTCTAGATGCTCATTGTCGACAGAAGCCTGTAGTCTAGATGTACCCTTAGACACATGTTAGAGCGCGCGTCTTCACAGCATACATTTTTAAAAAGCTAGCGGCACATTTTCAGTTTGTTTATGCCATGCAAAATATTGTTTCCAGATGGTCTGTTGTGAAGGTTTGTTAAAGCTGATGTTCTTTAGAGCATTCAAGAATGGTATGCTGATGAGATCCTGCAACCTTTCTTGCATTGGACCTCCTGACTGCAGGTTTTGTTACTGGTTTCCATCCCTGTTTGTTCTCAGGTTACTCATGACACCATGTCATATTCTTGGGCTGAGGTTTGAGCTTCTGACAGAACCAACAGCCATAGGAGTTTTCCACAGTTTGGGCTCTCCAGGGAACATTTGTCTAGCTCTAATGGTGATGCCGAAAGGAAGGAGAAAGACAAGTGTCACATCTCTCTTGGACCTTTCAGTTGACAGTTTGGAATTTCAGGAAGGGTCAGGCAAATGCGAGGAGCTTTGCAATGCAAGACGGAGGCACCACGGCCTAGTGGCTAGAGTGGAACATTGATTCTCAGGATTCTTGGCTCTGCTACAGGCCAGCTGAATGATTCTGGACAGGTCATTTTGCATCTTATGCCCAAGTTTCTCATCTGCAACAATCACGTTGGGATCTACTGCTGCAAAGCACTACAACTATATCATGATTGCGATGTCTCCAAGTTTCTGTGTCAAACCTCAGGATAACAATTTTATTTGTTCATAATTATATATAAATAGGTATATATTATATAACTTAGCAATATATAACTTAGCAATAGTTAAATACATCAAAATAAATAGATACATTATCCTGAATAAATAACACTTTGGATCATGTCTGGAAGTTATAAAAATCAATTACTCTTCTTACTCGGGTAATAATACATGAAGAAACAACAAGATAAAAATATAATCTGTGGAGGATATATAAAGTAAGAACTGCCAAATTTCAATATTAGTTAGTTTTCCTGAGCTAGTTTATGAGAGAGTTAAGAGCTGTGACCAGTGCGTAAATCCCAGAACTGGGGTGCATTGAAAACAAAATGAAAGCTTATGAAATGTTCCCAATATGTTTAGATATGTTACATTGACTGAAATGCACTTGATAGTGACAATAATAATGCATTCACTAAATAATATCCTGCGAGGATCAAATCCTACCGAAGTCCCAAATTTTAACTGTGATGAAAAAAACCATCCTCCAATGAATATTTGTCAAGGAATCAAGAGTGCTGCACTAGCTGGAAATTGGAGCAAGTTGGAGTGGAGACCAACTGTTGTGTGATGTTTTTAGGTATGAAAGGATGGAATCAGTTTGCTTGGGGATGTACAGTCGGAAGCCAGAATGAGATGAATGTTCCTGATTCAGACACGTCTTCTCATGATGTGTATTCGGTGTTCCCAGGCTACGGACTCTCCCGTAGCTAAGAAGGTATGGACGCAAGGTACCACAGAAACCAGATGGCTACACGCAAAGCTCCGTGTAGGCGGCGCATCTCAAGTCTTCGTTCAGCAGTCGGAAGACGTTGAGGATGACAGAAGCTTCCAGGCATGCAGGTGTTTCCTGGGAAACCAGAGAATATTTACAACAGGAAGAGGGGAGAGGGCTACATTAAAGTGGCCACAAGTATGTTGCATTTTTAAGAGGCAAGTGCGTATCCGTAAGGGCACTCAGAGGAGGTGGAAAAAGGGGAGGTACTGGAGAGAGGGCAAGGTGAATGCTGATCTTTGTAACCCAAGCAGACGCACATGCAAACATCAGCATCATTCAAACCGTACGTTAGCTGTTGCCGTCGTCTGTTACGTCATTGAGAAGCAGACCTGACGGGACCTACAGGCTCATTTTTATTGCAATATTTAAAAATAAATCCCAAGGTAGGTAATAACGGGCAGAATAAGCAGCAGCAATGCCGCCGTGGCCTCTGGGATGGGACCCAGGAGGCTGGATCCGTCTCTAATTGGTGTGGAAGTTGGCTTTGCGCGTTGTCTCAAATGCCCACTCACCGTCTCTTTGCTCGCCTGCAAATTTTGGAGCCAACTGTTCAGCCTCTTGGAGTGTGAATGAGAAGGCGTTTGCCTGGTCTGCAAACAGAATTGATACAGAGTTGGTGCACAGAGATTTCAGCAGACAATCAATCAAAGCTCCTTCTCTCTAGGCACAGAGCAATTCGTGCCTTGACACAGTCTAGAGGGTACCCTTGTGCATTTCATACCCATTCCCCTTGCTATGTAAGGACGGGCCCAAAGCAAGAGCAACATGGGACAAGAACAAGCAGCTGCACGTGGGTTCCCCTTGAAGGGAGTCCAAAGAGAAATCTAGCACCGAATACTCACGCAGCGTCTCAAGTCCTCTCTGATCTGCGACAGGATTTCCAGCGGCCTTGGCAGCAGCTTGGATAGACTGGGGTCCTCAACATCCTCCAACGTGTTAATGGTGAAGTCCAGCTCTTTCTCTACCAGGATCACCCTGTCGTGCACCTGGGGAGACACACTTGTAGGTAAGACCACGTGCGTGTGAGAACGCTAAGCAGCTGGGCAGATCCCGGACTAGAAAGTCTCAGGTGTAGATTGGTAAACCAGTTTGAAAGAGGTAATTTTCCAAAGCCACTCAGGGCTTTGATTGGTCAGGAAATCACTGGTGGCTGAACACGGCTTTATCTCCCCAACTGTGTCTTGACACCAGTTCATAGCCAGTGAAAAGACACCAGGATTGAAAAGGAGGTGTGACCCTTAGTTAGAGCCACAATCGGTTTTGACACGATCCTGGGTAGATCAGTGACTTTCGAGTGACCTGCTGAAGGCAGAGGTCAGGGAGCCACATGTCAGATTAGTACGAGGGCTCAGTGAGATCAGAATCAGACAGAAAAGGAGATACATAACGAAAGCGGCGTTTGCTACCATGGGAACTTCTACCCCCTGGCTGGGATGTTTCTTACCGACAACTCTTTGACTTCCCAGTTCCGGTGGAAAATCCTGGTGTTGCATTTTCGGTCGGACAACAGCAATATGTCCTCCTGGAGGCAGAAGGAGAGAGCTTAGAGCCATATATATGGAGGATCAGGAATACGTCTACTAGTTCTTCACTGAGTTCTATCCACACAATCCCAGCGGTGAGGCGGGGAGATGCAGACATCATGGGTGTGTCTAAACTTCATGGCTCCTTCGACGAAACCATGTAGATTTGTCAGGACGGTAAAGGGAAATGAAGCCACGATTTCAATAATCGCGGCTTCATTTACATCAACATGGCCACCGTGCTGTGCCGATCAGGTGATTGTCAGCTCAGCGCGGCAGTTTCGACGGGGATCTGCTGACCCCAGTATCCTTCATCGGCAGATCCTTTATATGCATTTTCACACTTACAAATTTGTCCTTGGTTTTCTTGAAGGCCTCCAGTTCCCGGGGTGGCAGGGACTTGTATTTTGCGAGGTGGCATTTTGTCCTCAGGGCGCCTTTGGGAAAGGCCTCTGCAGTCATCACCCAGAGGGACAGAACAAGGAGAACTCTGTAGCCTACGCCCATCGTGCTTCCTAAGGGAGACAGAGTGGGAGAGAGACATCACTGAGATGCCAGGCTGCCAGACTTACCCGCTGGAGAGCTGGATGGCATCTCGTAAGCCAGACCTGCCGCGGAGACACACCTAAGGAAACTTCCTTTTTACGGTTACATAAAGTGCTATTAAATCTGTCGCAGAAGGCAGCCTGTAGTGAAATGGCTCTGATCTGCGGCTTCCTACTGTGGACTAGGAAGTACAATAATTGTTACCATCTCTGAAGCCAATTAGTTCATTTGATCATTGGGACATTAAGCAGCTGAGGAAGAGGTAGTGTGAAGAAGTACAAGAACCAGTGTGGAACCAGGCCCTGAAGACTCTACAGAGAGGCTTGAGGCCTTGCCACGTCATGCCCCAGAAAAGGACAATAGAGAGGTCCTCCAAAAAGGCTAGTATGGCTGTAGGGGAAATGGCCAATGAGGGGCCAGGAAGGCCCTATAAAAGGAGCTGCAGGATCAGAGACAGTTCAGTTCCTCTGCAGACCTCAAGCTGGGTAGAGCGGGAGACTGGCAGAGAGACTGGCAGCAATGTTGTGTTACACATTTAACCTTCTTTTAAGCAAACTGTGAACTGACTATAAATATTATGCAAATATATATCTCTGCTCTATCTCAGGCTATTGGCTGGAATTATCTGCAATTTGATATTCATTACACGTGTTGCGGCTGGTTTCCTAAGTCACATGGCATTGTTTGTTCCATTATTTGATGACTGCTCTGTTCTGAAACCGTTCGTGTTTTTATGTGAAAGGCTTGGGGTTGACAAACACTTTTCACAAACACCTGACTATTCTCCCAGTACAAAAGGAAAATACCCTAGAAATCATAGCAACTTGCACTCTGATTTTTTGCAGGAAAACATTCATGAAGCATAGAGGTTTTGTATTTCACTAGTCAGCCAATAGTAATACGCTCAGGCGGAACACACGTTGCTGGTATAACTTTCGTTCCTTACTGTCTACCACAAAGCACAATATAATCACTGAGCAAAGAGAAATCATAGTAAGGATTGGCTCCAAGCCAGCTGCTCTTACCTTGCCGTATATTTGCTGGGATGTCGCTTTAGTTGCCTCTCGTGTCTCAAGGCTGCTTTGCCTCTCTCTTGACTCTGAATGTGTCTTTTCCTCTCCATTGATCTTGCTTTTATACCAAAAGGCATTTTCTGGTTAGGAAAAAGAACACACAATGTCACTTTGCTTTAGTCTGTGGCAGAAAACCCAGCTCTGCTCTCACCAACCAGAGAGCAAGGAATGCGTTTGGAAAGGGAAAAGGAAAGCAAAAGGCAGGCAGGTAGACGTTGCACCTGAGCACAGAGTGCTGAGAGATTCCCTGGGTGATGTCACAAGTGAGTTATGCAAGAGGGCTCTGCCTGGAGCAGGTATGTCTGTAGCTGGATTGCAGAGCCCTGTGGAGTCCAATGGACAGAAGAATCCCAGACCCTTTTATTTCAAGAATCCTTTCCCCTTTCACAGGTGAATCACAGCAAACCAGGAGCCCGGCCTGGCCGGAGCCCAGCGCACTGGGAGCTGGGCGTAAGCTGGGCTGTCTGGCTTAGCAGTGAAGTGGGGAACTGGCAAGGAGCGGGGCTGGCGGCAGGGTAGGGAGCCAGACGGCTGGTCCAGAGTTGGCGTAGCCAGTAACTGGGCCCCAGAAATGAGTTTCCCTGCTCCGGCAAAATCCTGGGGGCCGGACTAGGGAGGTCCAATCTGTATTCCACTTGTGCCCAGAGGCTCCAGTCAGGATCAGGACCTTGTTACAGAAGCATCCTCCGCATGAATCAATGGCTGCCCCTTCGTCCTTTTACAGGCTAAATGGGGCCTTGGCACGAGGGGTTGCCGCACGCAGCCGAGGGGAGTGACGGGGGCAATGCTCTGCCTGTATTAATGAGTGCGCGCGCCAGTCTCCCTTCTCAGGTGCAGCGCTTTGTAGTTGCCCCCTCCCCATTCCCCATCCCACCCTGCCCGCTACCCCTTGGCCGCACGGGCCTCTGATGGGTCTGTTGTGCTGGGCTCAGCGACTGTGGCCTTGGCGGAGGAATACAGCCACAAAGACCCCGTCTCTGGCTCCCTTTCTCACTGACGCATGACCCCGTCCTCTCTCCAAACGACACCACCTCACACAAAGATCGTTTTCCAAACAGCTCCCGTCTGCTCATTGGCCGGCACATCGAGTGGCGCAACGTCCCGGCCTGCGGGATTGTTTGGTGGAGACAGTTGTGCCCGTACCGCAAGTGGCGGGTGCAGGTGCCTCCGCAGAGCGGTGCCTTACACCAGAAGAGGGACGTCCCTTCCTGTGAGGCCCGTAAGAAGCAGCTGCATCCCTTGTGGAGGGGGGCTGAGGGAACAGGAAGGGAGGCGGCACTGAGATAACCACACCAGCGTGCAGGGCTGTCTTTGGAACACCCTATGCAATTCACCCCCCCCACGTGCCCTGCCACGTGACCGCTTGAATTTCCGCAAAAGCACTGACTTCCTACTGTAAGAAATCAGTGCTTTTTGCGGAAATACTATGCTGCTCCCGTTCGGTCAGAAACTTTTGCACAAAAGGGCCAGTGTAGACAGCTGAGATTTGTTTTCCGCAAAAAAGCCCCTATTGCAAAAATGGCCATCGGGGCTATTTTGCTGAAAAGCATGTCTAGATTGGCCACAGATGCTTTTCCGCAAAAAGTGCTTTTGCAGAAAAGCGTCCGTGTCAATTTAGACGCTCTTTTCCAAAAATGCTTTTAACGGAAAACTTTTCAGTTAAAAGCATTTCCGGAAAATCATGCCAGTCTAGACGTAGCCATGTTGTAGATCTCAAGCTCATTCTCGTTGGGTATTTTTTGTGTGAGCGCTTTAGCGGGGGGATTTTGAAAAAAACCCAAAAGGGCCTTTGCGATTTTAGAGTCTGTCCTCCGTTTTCAAACGACTTCGGTCCTAGAGGGAAATCAGCGAGGTTTAGGTGCCCCCATGCTGTTCAGGATGTGGGCGTCCGGAGGCTACGATCCCCTGAAAGTCAATGCGACTTAGATTCCTACGTCACTTGTGTGCTTCTATCCCTTGTGTTTCGGAACACATTCAGAGATCAGTTAAGCTTAGCAGGGCATCACTGGCCCTGAAACGGGGCACCAGAGAACAGAGGTGAGACCTCACACTGGTCGGGGGGAGAGGTATGTGCATTTGCTAATAATTTTTTATTCTAGTTCGACATCAGAAAACGAAAGACGACAAAGTCTGTGACGCTCCATCTTTCTGGGTACCTACGTGAAACACTGTAATAGTGTTTCAGCGCAGGATCACAGAAATGTAGGGCTGAAAGGGAACTGGAGATATCACCAAGTCCACTCATGTAGGATCACGTAAACCAGAGAGTTTCCCAACCTATGAGTTGGGACCCAAATATGGGTCACCAAGTGTCTCCCTAGGTGGCTCTGCCCCCCTCTTCCCTCTGTTTTTGAATTGCCCTGGATCACCAAGTCTTCCTGAATTATCAAAATGGGTCCCCATCTGGAAAAGGTTGAGAACCACTGACGTAAACACTGCCCTGCTGTTCCTAACAAATACAGCTGTGGGAAGGCCTTCTAGGATGAGACTTTCTCTTGTGCTGTTGGATGTACAGTGACGAGGCTCACAGGGCGTGTGTCTACACAGCAAAGTTATTCCAAAATAACTATGCAAGCGTCTACACAGCCATTCCGTTATTTCAAAATAATTTCGAAATAACGGAGGGCTTATTCCGACTTCTGTACACCTCATTCTACGAGGAATAACGCCTCTTTCAAAATCGCTATTTCGAAATAGCCCCTCACCAGGGCCATTCCAAGTTATTCCTCCTGGGGCAATAAATCGAGATCGCCCATCTACATTAGGAGAGCCTGTCTCGGACTCATGTTAAGGCTTCCCTGCAGTGTAGATGTGCTATTTCGAAATAAGCTATTTTGGAATAACTCTTCCGGAATAGCTTATTCCGAAATAACTGTGCAGTGTAGACCTAGCCAGGGTTCCCTTTGGGTTTGGTTGGGCCAGGGACAGCCCTCTCCACTGTGGAGATGTCAGGGTTCAGACTCACCTTTGTTTGACAACGTTCATCACTGCTCTGGAGAGGTAGCGCCGACCGTCATCTGCAGGTGGACTGGGACCGGTGGCACTTGGTGCATGAGCTAGATGCCAGCCAGCTGTTAGCTAAGGTTGTGGAACAGGCTCATTAGTCTCATTGTAAGTGGCTACGGAGCCACAAGATGGAGTAGTGCTCCCTAGCCAGGAGGTGTGGGGGTTACGGAGACACCAGGGGAAAGAATGGCTCCCAGGACTGGTGATGGGCTCAGGCCCGTACGTGGGAATTTTGGAATTTTTTTTTAACTACAAAAGAGTTCCAACTAGCCATGGAATGAGCGTGCGTAAGAGGCTAATGACAAATTTGAGTGGAAACAGCGATTGGTAAGATGATGTTGTTATAAGAGACGAACTACTGACAGTAATAACAGTTGTATAGAAATTACCTCCTGGGATCTTGCTATAAGAGCATAAGTGCAAAACAATATTCCCTAAAGTACCTGGCCGCCCAGGAGGGGGCAGAATCAGCCTTGGTCTGGCCGAGCCATGGCTACAGCAACCCAGCTGAGTGGAAACAGCGATTGGTAAGATGATGTTGTTATAAGAGACGAACTACTGACAGTAATAACAGTTGTATAGAAATTACCTCCTGGGATCTTGCTATAAGAGCATAAGTGCAAAACAATATTCCCTAAAGTACCTGGCCGCCCAGGAGGGGGCAGAATCAGCCTTGGTCTGGCCGAGCCATGGCTACAGCAACCCAGCCCAACTCGTGGGAGGGGCCCCAGCCCCGCCCCCAGCCTCACTCCTGGGGGGAGGGGTGGAAATGTCACTTGTTTGAATCTAGGCTGGATGGATAGGCACTACCGGCATGCCATCTCTGCCAGTCGGTGGTATGTTTCAAGGTTTATATTTCAAGTAATATCTTGTGTGGGAACAACTTCTGGTGGAGTTTCGAACCACACGGCGCTTTTCTTCCAACCTTCTGTGCAGCTCAGGCACGTGCGCCTTTAACCAAGAGAAGCT